GGAGTCTCAGAGTAATATCAAGCCATGTGGAAGTGGTAGGAGCTATCATTCTGTCAGGCGTATCGATTGCTATTGATTTGGACGGATGGTTGTGGGGCGGGGGTATTGATTATTGGAATTCGATGAAATAGGAAATTTGATAGAAATCGATGTAGAGGTGATGATCAGATGATTCTGATTGTTGATTAGCCAAAAATAGTCATTGAATCTTGTGGCAAAACTGCAAAACTCCCCTCGAGGATTCGAACTTGTCTAGCGAATATACGCGTGATCTCATAAGCGTCATGCTTACCAGAACACCACGTATACTCTGATAATCAGCCGTTTATTGGCGGACAATCAACGTTGACGCGTTCGAACTGGGCATTGGTGACGTATTTCCGGATGGCTACCGACCGGTAGATCAGTTCCCACATCAGTTAGGTGGTATCATCATGAAGACCTACGGGGTCCGCTTCGTTCCATGGGTAAATTCCGTACGGTTCGATAGTTGGTGGCCAGGAAATAGTTTAACATTTGTCAGCGATCATCAATGAGGGAAGTCAGCTGAATGGGAAAAGGATGGCCCGAGNGGTTGTATTCAGGACTGATCTCTCCTCTAACGGTCAAATTCGCTTACTTCCAACAGCTTCGGGAGCAACCTGTAGCTGAGGACTAGTTAATACCTTAGTGAGTAGTGAATAGTTAGTACTGACAAACCTTCCGAAGGCGACTAAGGTGATGAGCTGGAGCAAGTGAGTCGGCACGGAGCTCCAGATGAAAATTTGAATGATCCTGGGATTCATGTTGAAGAAAATGGGTAAACCTTCTCAAACGAATAATTTCGGAGTGATCCGAATGACTCTGGACGAATTAAAGGAAAATCCAAATCTCAAACGAGCGAGCTACACCAACCCTGCCATGAAGGGACCAACGTCACGAAAAAGGTGACGTCAGTGATTATTTAGTCAGGGGTCGTCTCATGAAAGCTACTATTTTACTGATGCAATAGACCAGCAATGCACAAAACTGCTATAGAACAGGGGTTAGCTAAGCTGCGTGGCACGCACGTGGTCACCGGATCAGATCCCCGATCGCGGCGCTCAAAAATGTCAGGCCCTCTCGCAGTTATTTTGAAGGAAACTGTTCTCGAGGATCGAATGGGACAATTTTTCCTCTTGTAAGGATAAAAATGAATTATGCCCAAAATGTGCACGGAATGCTCCGGATATGATACCTGGTCCGCCTGGTCCGCAGTCCGAACTCAGCTACTTGGAATCTACTCAAGAAATAAAAAGCAAGGGCAGCATTGTCAGTCTATGTGAATCACCTACAATCTCATGCATAAATCTCCGAAAGCAGTCGAGTTAATTGAATACGACTGGGTGTTCCAAAGTGATCACCCAGACATGACGTCATTGTTACAAACACTTTGCAACCACAATTACAATTCTTCGGTATGAAGGTTACAGACTAAGTAATGAATTTGAATTTGTAGAAATACTTAGTGAAGAAGCCCTAAAGATTGCTAATGGATTTGGTGAAGGATGCGATTGGCTTCACAGCCTTCTGTACGTACTCCGAAGATTATTCTCTCAGCTGTTCAACAGAACTGTGATTTTTTCTCCTAAATGCAAAGCATTTGAGGGTTGACGGGCTTGAATATGGTCATCAACTGAGCCAATCGATAATCCCCAAGAAACGTCACCGTCGGAACAGCTTCAACTCAACGAGAAGGCGCTGGATGCGCTAGAACTAGATGCTCTTGGCCATTCAGAAGAGCGGTGAAGGACCACCACTAGAACTCTACCAAGTACAGCTGATAGTCACTTTTTGCAGAGACCTGGTTAAGATAGGGAGCAGAAATAGAGTCATAGCGCAACATTAGCTTTCAGTTGGCAGCGGAGATGGTCCTTCTGAATAGAAAAACTCATAGAAAAAAAGGGCCGCGTGAGGGTGAGCTGCAGCAGATGCTGGTTAGAGAGATCTCCTTCAGAGCCTTTTCGGCCGAAAAAGCGGTCGAAATCGGTTGTTCAACAGCTACGAGAGATTTATTGACCATTCAAAACGATGCATTATCGATAATAATCAACTCAATAATCAGTAGTTCCTGAGTAAAATAGTAGCAGCTTATAGGCGATGTCTAACTATCAGGAGAAGAAGGATGGGGAGAAGGTATCACAAAAGTAAAACGCAGAAGGTATGTAGGGCTGTGACTTTTTGAGCACGGCTTCTAAATGAGATCAAGCTTGGGGTCTGTCTTTTGGTAGTATAAAAGGCTTGATTATTCAAGAACAATGAAGATAAGTAACTTTTAGTAACTCTTACCATCGTTAGACAAACACAGTACGGTTCGCTTTTCCGTTATTCTCTCCAAATTGCTCGAGTAAACCGTCAAAGACCCCTGGGTTAACCTCAACGGTTTCGTTTTTATCAGTGTACACCTATACACTCACTTATGACGTCATTATTACAACCATAATTGCAGGCACAACTGGAAATTTCGTTTTAAAGGCTTAGTGTAATTCGAATAGGATCCTTACCGGTCAGGCCCTCTCGATGGGTACGCAGTCAAGTGTACGTTATGATTGGTTTTGTCCTCTTTACTTTGCTTTCCACAGGGAAAATTTATCCAGGAGCTCTATATGGAAGCGGAACCCCCTTTCAAATGAAGATTCTTGGAAGTTTTCCGATCCATTCTTTATTACCAGGGCAATTACTTGATAAGCTAAGAAAAACTTATCAGTTTTACAGCTTCTCCATAGCAAAAATGGGTCAAAAGGGTGGGTTTGAGTCACCTTGAGCTCCCACTTTTGTAGCTACAACTCTTTTCCAAGTACGGCTAACAGTCGCATTTTTTGGCAGTCGTGGATAACTCGGTTCAGCAATGCTAAAACCGTTGGGCAGGAATCGAACTTGTACAAAGCGAATATAGGCGTGATCTCATAAGCGTCATGCTTACCAGACCACCACCGATACCCTGACGTACGGACCGTTTCACGATCGTCACAATCGATACGAATCAACGCCCTTCATTGCTGGTCATAGTTCAAAAATCACTTTTTCCCATTATGTTCGTCCCTAGCCCACTAGCAAACACCTCAGCATGTACAACAGAACTGTAGAAAGCCACATGAGGTTCTTACCGGGGCATTTTCCAGGGCTAGCTGGGTATTTAGTTGAATTAGGGCGCTGAAGAGTGCTTGAGGGAAGGCAAAGGTCGCAGAAAATCTGGCAACAGCACTTCCCCAAGAAGCTGCTACTAAAGGAAGAAGATGACAATACCATAAGAGGGTCGCTGGGTACCGATACCGGCTGACTGGCTTAGCCAGTAATGGTATATGTGGGTTCTCTTAAGCTATGCCTGAACTGAGACTCAGAAGCTGAGGAGAAAGAGTTCTAGATAGCCGAGGGGATAAGCAGCAAGGCGCTGGGATTGCACAAACACGTACGGGGCTCGAATCCCGTCCAAGGTTGAAGTTTTGCTCATATCCATACGGTTGTGCTACCTTTTTCAAAACTCGCTACTTTCATCTACATTTTACTTCATGAATATCTCTCAATTCAAAAAAATTTAAGAAAAAAAGTAATGAATAGATCCTCATGCGGCGCTCCTCGTGTGATGGAAAGGAGCCTTATAAGCGTAAAGAAGCGGAAATAGCATCTGACAACATACTTCTGAAAACCAAAATTTTCAAACCACAAATGAAATTTCATTCAGAAGCTCGAAGATCTTCCCTATAAGGCTCGTGGGATCATCCAAGGAGGGCGACAAATAATGATACTTCCAAAATGATCATCCACCAGCAAATGAATCACACTGAATCATGTAGAAAAGGAATGGAGTAGCTTCCGGATGACGGAATGCCGAAAGCGTACATGAAAAAGACCCGGCCAAAGTTTCGGAAAGAGTTTGAAAGCGTTCAAACCCGGCAGAGTTCTCACATTACAGAATGTCGACAACTCTTTTTTTACTCGAACTTCAAAGTACAAGCAGTAACATCTGGACCTGATGTGCGATGTGGTGACGAAAAGTACGTTGAAGGCACAGTCATAGCATCGCCACTGCCCCAGCAAGCTCCGTTGAATCAGTTGTATTAAATAAATGTAAAAAGAATTTTGATGAATGTTTTTAACCACGTGGTAGCTTCCTCTCCTGCAGTCTTGAGATCTATTCAAAAAGAAACCAAGGGAATAGAATCTCTTCCAAGTAACCTGAATGGGATTCCTCATCTTTTCGTCTTCCATAGGTGGGTTCTGATTCCTTGAAGATTATTGTAGAAATACACGTTACTGAAAGAAATTCCAATCAAGTAAATCTTGGATCGACGTCTCAAATAGGAACAGTCAAGCAAATGCAAAACAGTTGCCCCGAACCAGGATCGAACTGGTGACCTTTAGATCTTCAGTCTAACGCTCTCCCAACTGAGCTATCGAGGCGCCTGCTACTGGCGTCCGCTGGATTCCCTTCGTAATTACTCCTGAATTGAAAGTAAGTAAACAAAAAGTCAAGTCATGTTTATAGAAGCCAAACTATGACCACATTTTGACATGTGGATTTTTTTTATTTTTCCAAGACAACACAAACTACCTATACAGTATTCACATAGAAAAAGTAAATAAAAATATTAAGTCGCATTTGAAGAAAACTAAAAACGATAAACTCGAAAAAAGGACACTTTTGGTATGTATTCACTACACTTTTACTGACAGCTCTGGCATAGATTGAATCCATCAAAATAGCTTTTGATTTACGGTCTGACACGTGAGAAGTCGATAGTGTAACGGTTAGAACGGCTATCCGTGAATACGTTCCGGGTCGGAGTCCCTTCATGAGGTCTGAGTCTTCTGAGGTTTTGCTTATCATTCAACACCATTATGGTGAATGTTTGTATCACAAAATGCTGCAATACTCGCAATACAAATAACAAAACAAACAAATTTAAACAAGTAGGCATATCAACGATATGGCCTTCCTCCGCATTCCCAGTTCGATCTCATTTTGTACTGACGTTTTCAGAATGCTGCGAGCTTCCCGTACTATGGCCCGACCAAAATCACTTGAAAGATTAGCTGAGGTCAGTTTGGTTCACTAAAAACTAGCCAATTCGTCCATAGAAAATTTCTCAATGATATTAACAGCTGCTTGGGTGTCCCCACTTGGAATTAAGAAAAGGAAAAAGGAAAGGGCGAAACGAAAAAGGGCTGGCAAGTCATCCCCTACGGGCGAGTTTCATGGATATGCTCTAATCAGGCAAAGGCTAAGTTTACAAGAATGTAACTTCCAAGCGGACCCTGAACTTCTGAATGTGTTCGGTGAAGAGTAATGAGAACACAAAGGGATATGTCTGGCCCCTTCTAGACAAACGATTTCAATACAGTGTCGGCCTTGGGTTATTTGATATGTGATCAGCCCCAGAGTGACTTGCACTTTCCTATTTTGGATTTTTGATGTCAGTCTAGCCCCGGTATCCGTTTTCAATTATTTGTACTTATGACGTGTGGTCAAATGTATGGTAAACAAATAACGATAAAGCCCTTAGCATTAAGATTTAGTTGGAGGATCCCACCGTGGGGTATGCCGCATACATGATGCCTACTTGGAAATGTGAATGCAATTGTTTCTGTGTTTGGTTCAATCAAAGGTTGCAGGATTGGCTAGTCATATGTAGGTGTCGTCAGTCAACCAAAGTAGCATCAACTCTGCTTGTAAAAGGTGCATAAAGTGGAAAGCCTCTCCCAGGGCGACTTAGATAGCTGTCAGACAGAGTCGAACTTGTGCCATGGTCCACGTCGGAGAATGTTGAGCTCGAAGTTCTTCTTTGTAGGCATTTTTCTCGACGCTACGTTCGGTGGGTGCCCCAGTGGCTGTATTTCTACAGCTTCTTCTACTTGACCACTATTTAGGCTAATTCGTAAATAAGTATCTTTCGGTACTATCCTAGGAAAGCGTCGCACCCAAAAGTCCCATTCTCACCTGCTGCTAGGGTTGGATCGACTAGTCAAAATGGAGTGAAAGGTAACAGATAAGTTGAAAAAAAGCTGTTTAGAGTAAGAACAAAGACTGAGAGACCAAGTCAGTTGAGGAGAAGGAAATTTACCCGTAGACCTGGGTATTTGTTGTATCAATATCGGGAACGGTTTCAAAACGGGCAGCAAGTCGATTAGCTTTCCAACCTGGAATTTTCGTTCTCGTTTGAACAATCTGAACTAAGTATTTCGTAGGTTTAGTGGACAGTAGCTTTACAGTTGCGGTCAAAGTCCTCAATGAAGGGGAACGTTCTCTGCCGGAAATCATTTCAAAAGTCTGAATCCACTGGGGAACATATGAGGGGTACAAAAAGAACAAGAGGGGGTCTTTCTGAATGAGTACGGGAAAGAGAGGAGATAGCAAGAAGTAAGCAGGGTAAGCACGAGTGTAAAAAACCATCCGTTCAAAAAAAAAAGTCTGTGGGCACTCTGCCACCACCGCCGTCCGTTTTATTGATCGCTGTTCAGCTCGAAAAAAAAATCAGAAAAAAAGTATAAATGTTAGCATACAACCAAATGAAAGGAGAACAGACTCCTATCAAGTCAAATGCAGGAGGACTTGTCCTTCTGATTGAAAAGTCAGATATTCTTCATCGGAGTTGATCGTGGCCTTGTTCGAGGTCAACTTGCTTGAATCTCCAGCTCCGTAGAAGTTTCTGAAGAGATTTATTCTAGAGGATTTTTGGTTTCGATCGGTTTTCCAGCTTACCGAAAGGGTTGCGGAAGGGCTCACGCCAGTCTAAGCGACCCAACTGTGGAATCAGGCCTCGTCGCTATTCTGAAGAGCCCATCTGGTCGACTGTACTTCTTGAACGGCGTCTCATAGAGTCAGCCTGGTTAGTTATCACCATGGACCGGTTGGTAACGTTGCCAAAACTGACGGAAACAATGTGCTGTCCAGTCAGAACAGTGTCGATCATGTGTGTTTCATGCATATTGAACCGAATTGATCGCAGTGTACGCTTGATAAGTGCGCTCGGTCGGCACCGATAACAGGGTGTACGTGGTGGTCTGGTAAGTGTGTCGCTTATGAGATCACGCGTATATTCGCCGCGCAAGTTCGACGCCTGTCGACGGTTTTTAGTTTTGCCACATACGGATTTATATAGCCATGATAAAAACCGTTCTGTCACACGTCAACTTGATGACATATCGAGGTCACTGGTCGTTGGAATTCCAGCATTTCTCTGATCAGACCGGTGAAACAGAGAGTTCCAGCCATTTTCCATACCGAAACCTACTTCCACGATGATCCCTTCCTGTGTCTGTTCCGGTTTTTCAAAGAAAGCTGCCTTCCACTTGAATTTTGTCTAGTTACCCAGATAACATAGTAAATGATCCCATAAGTCAAACCCAGCTGCTGTAGGTACTGGATGGTGTAGTTAGTAGAGGTACAAAAATGAAAAATTTATTACTGGCATGCCTGGTAGTAGGGTTTATAGTAAATCGGGTGCCCTAATTATTTACTATATCGTATAGTAACTCATATGTATGTAGTCAGAGGAAGAGAGTCTAAAAGGTCTAGAGAAGCGGTTCCGGGTGAATATAACGTAGCAATATCTGTAAACGACCCTTTTTTGGTTTTTAAGCCAAGTTTGAAGACTTCTGTGGAGCGTTGCCAAGTGGCGCCACTAACGAGCACGCGGTCCATGGATCAACCACAGCTGCACCTCTACACGAGCCACCACCTCTTCGCATTCGTCCTTTGTCCAATTGGCAGCAGGTACATCTGGAAGGATTACAAGTTTCCTAATAATTAGCCGTTGGTCCCCTAAAGGCGGCGCCTAAGCGAAAGACGACTTTACTAGTCTGGAAGGAAGTCGAGAGCATGAACTCATCCTTGACGTCAATGAATACTTCGAAATTTTTGATTTCCGTTTAAAACAATTCGTTTACAACGAATTCTGGAATTTTCGAATGAACTTGTCACCTCATTATTGATTCCGATTGAGAATTGTACTTTGGAATGGCAATCAATCAAATGATTCAGCCAAACATGATCATGTCGGTCTTGTAGTTGTTCAATTTCCACTTGGTGGTTACAGCTAGCATTTAAATGTAAAGAAAAATCTTAAGTAAAAAAGATAAACGTTCATTTGAAGAAAGTAGTTTAAGTGAGCTAAGCTAGTCTTTTGAAAAGACCAACGTACTTTCCAGGCCGTGGCCAGGTCGACCAGCAAAGAACCACCGATCAAAGGTGAGTCAAATATGTCCATGTTGTTAGTTTCGAATGAAAAAGGTCATTCCAACGAAAAAGAATATGGAATTAGAATTTGAGAAGGAAGAACCAGACCAATTCTCTCTGAATTGTAGCGCAGTGGCTAGAGGCGCTTTTTGAATTTTGGTCAAAAGAGATCGATCCCCTGCAGCAAACTTAGTTTCACTTCATTGTCATGACATATTCTATATGAAAATATTGACCTTACTACAAACCCAATATGTGTAGGTAAATGGTGGATTGGTTAGAAAACGTTTCAAAGTTGTAACATGAAACCTTTTCCAGCCAATCTGTGGCACAATGAAGTAATTATGAACCCGAGCCTTCTTTTCCATCACTTTTTTCCCTGTCTTTCTTACTTTTTTCTTACCTTAGTCATATGGGGGTAACGTTAAACTCACAGGGGCGGGAGAAGCCAACGCTCCAATTCCCTTTTCAACTTTTCTGGGCCTCGTGGAACCCAAGTCATTTGCTTAAAGGGAGAAGCCTTTCAATAATTTTGTTCAGGAACCAAGACAGTAACCACTGACTTGGCAGCTCAACTTACACCATCGACAAGGGAGGCTATGGCTGCAGCTAAAGAAGCAAGTGAGTTAGGAAAATTATACATTTGACACCATGCATTCCTTCATAATTTGTGCGTGGGAGAGAACCTTCTTATGCCTCTATATAGCCGCTCTCGGACCTCTGTTACACTTTGGGCAGGCGACGATCCGAACTAGAGTAATCGCCTGGTGCGTCCAATCTCTCCTACTGCCTTACTCGTATAAATGCCATCTACAAAATTCCTACTCACATCACCACTCCATAGAAGTAATAATGGGGCTCACAATGAATCTCATCTCTCTTCCACATAATGATCAAGCAGAGTAAGTTCGAAAAGCAGAAGGGATTCAAGAAAGGGGAGCGATCGTTCCGATTTTTTGCGGAAGCCTCAAGCAGTTGAATGGGAATCTTTATTGACTTTGAAGAATGATATTTTGACGAAGTTGATTCCAGAAAAACTCGTGAAAAAAGTAACGTCTCCAGAGAAGCCAGTACAAGGAATGACTGCAGAAAATCGAGAGCCAGACAGTTCTCAACACGATACCATTCAAGAAAACATGGCAGAAAATGGCACTATCTAGACAAATAAAAACGTATTAAATGAAATAAAATTCGATGAATTAATGCTGGCTTGCCTGAATATCTCCTGGTAATGTATAAAAAGAAGGAGATGAAATAAAATTCGATGAATTAATGCTGGCTTGCCTGAATATCTCCTGGAAATGTATAAAAAGAAGGAGCAGAGCCGAAATTCTGAAGTGGGAGCTCTGGCTCATCTTCGATGAATAGCCGTAGCATGCTATCATTGCAATCCCCTAACAGTCCAGCAGGTTGCTCGGTTATGCTGCTTCATACTGCTGCTGCTGTGGTGATCATCAGAATGTGTTTCCAAATGTCAGAATTCAAATCTCTTTTCAGATTTCACTCAACCGACCTCTATAAGAGGTACTGCATTCCCTCCTGCTTGACAGTCATCGTCTAGGTGCTTACAGTACTGTGAGTGGGGTTTTGAACGACGCCAACAGTGGTGTTAGCTGGTACCCTGAGAAAACTTGCGTTCTCGAAGGCGCGAAGTTGGAGG